GACCATTCACAAGGAAAGAGATTGAAACAGCAATGAAAAGCATCCCAAAGAATAAAACCCCAGGCCCAGATGGCTTTCATGGGGAATTCTGCCAAACTTTCAGAGAGGATTTAATACCTATCCTTTTCAAGCTATTCCAAAAAATTAGGGAGGATGGAACACCTCCTAGCACATTCTGTGAGGCCAACATCACACTGATACCAAAGCCTGACAGGGACAGCACAAAAAAAGAGAACTACAGGCCAATATCACTGATGAACATAAACGCAAAAATTCTAAACAAAATTTTGGCAACCTGAATTCAGCAATTCATCAAAAGGATCATACATCATGATCAAGTGGGATTCATACCAGGGACAGAGGGATGGTTCAACATCCGCAAATCAATCAACGTGATACACCACATCAACAAACTGAGGAATAAAAACCACATGATCATCTCAATAGATGCAGAGAAGGCATTTGACAAGATCCAACAGCCATTTATGATAAAAACTCTGAACAAAATGGGCATAGAAGGAAACTACCTCAACATAATAAAGGCCATATACGACAAACCCATAGCCAACATCATTCTCAATGGGAAAAAACTGAGCGCCATCCCCCTGAGAACGGGAACGACACAAGGATGCCCTCTATCACCACTCTTATTTAACATAGTACTGGAGGTCCTGGCCAGAGCAATCAGGCAAGAAAAAGGAATAAAAGGAATCCAAATAGGGAGGGAAGAAGTGAAACTCTCGCTGTTTGCAGACAACATGATCTTATATATAGAAAACCCCAAAGAATCCATCGGAAAACTGCTAGAAGTAATCAACAACTACAGCAAAGTTTCAGGGTATAAAATCAATTTGCATAAATCAGTAGCATTTCTATACTCCAGTAATGAACCAACAGAAAAAGAACTCAAGAATACAATACCATTCACAATCGCAACAAAAAGAATAAAATACCTTGGGGTAAATTTAACTAAGGAAGTGAAGGACCTATATAATGAAAATTACAAGGCCTTTCTGAGAGAATTGGATGACGACATAAGGAGATGGAAAGACATTCCATGTACATGGATTGGAAGAATAAACATAGCTAAAATGTCCATTCTACCTAAAGCAATCTACAGATTCAACACCATCCCAATCAGAATCCCAATGGCATTCTTTACAGAATTAGAACAAAGAATCCTAAAATTCATATGGGGCAACAAAAGACCCCGAATTGCTAAAGCAATCCTGAGAAAAAAGAACAAAACGGGAGGCATCACAATCCCTGACTTCAAAACATACTACAAAGCTACAGTAATCAAAACAGCATGGTACTGGTACAAAAACAGGTGCACAGATCAATGAAACAAAATTGAAAGCCCAGAAATAAAACCACACATCTATGGACAGCTTATCTTTGACAAAGGAGCTGAGGGCATACAATGGAGAAAAGAAAGTCTTTTCAACAAATGGTGCTGGGAAAACTGGAAAGCCACATGTAAAAGAATGAAAATTGACCATTCTTTTTCACCATTCACCAAAATAAACTCAAAATGGATTAAAGACCTAAAGGTGAGAACTGAAACCATAAGGCTTCTGGAAGAAAACGTAGGCAGTACACTCTTTGACATCAGTATTAAAAGGATCTTTTCGGACACCATGCCTTCTCAGAGAAGGGAAACAATAGAAAGAATAAACAAATGGGACTTCACAGATTAAAGAGCTTTTTCAAGGCAAATGAAAACAGGATTGAAACAAAAAAACAACCCACTAACTGGGAAAAAATATTTGCAAGTCATATATCTGACAAAGGCTTAATATCCTTAATATATAAAGAACTCTCGCAACTCAATCACAAAACATCAAACAACCCAATCAAAAAATGGGCTGGAGACATGAACAGACATTTCTCCAAAGAAGATATACTGATGGCCAATAGGCACATGAAAAGATGCTCATCATCGCTGATCATCAGGGAAATGCAAATCAAAACTACACTAAGATATTACCTTACACCTGTTAGAATGACAAAAATATCTAAAACTAATAGCAACAAATGGTGGAGAGGTTGTGGAGAAAAAGGAACCCTCATACACTGCTGGTGGCAATGCAAACTGGTGCAGCCACTATGGAAAACAGTATGGAGATTCCTCAAAAAACTAAAAATAGAACTACCATACGATCCAGCCATCCCACTACTGGGTATTTATCCAAAGAGCCTGAAGTCAGCAATCCCAAAAGTCCTGTGCACCCCAATGTTTATTGCAGCACTGTTTACAATAGCCAAGACGTGGAAGCAACCTAAGTGCCCAGCAACAGACGAATGGATAAAGATGTGGTACATATATACAATAGAATACTACTCAGCTGCAAAACAGAACAAAATCATTCCATTTGCAATAACATGGATGGACCTTGAGAGAATTATGTTAAGTGAAATAAGCCAGCAAGAGAAAGATAATCTGTGTATGACTCCACTCATATGAGGAATTTAAAACTATGGACCAAGAACAGTTTAGTGGCTACCAGGGGAAAGGTGGGGTGGGGGGTGGGCACAAAGGGTGAAGTGGTGCACCTACAACATGACTGACAAACATTAATGTACAATTGAAATTTCACAAGATTGTAACCTATCAATAACTCAATAAAAAAAACTGAGAAAAAAAATTAAAAATAGAACTACCATATGATCCAGCAATTCCATTTCTGGGTGTATATCCAAAAGAATTGAAAGGAGGGTCTCAAAGAGATACTGAACACCTATGTTAACAACAGCTAAAATGTGGAAACAACCAAGTGTCCATCGATGGATGAAGGGATAAACAAAATGTGGTATGTACACTCAACGGAATATTATTCAGCCTTAAAAAGGAAGGAAATTCTAACATATGCTACAATATAGATGAAGCTTGAGGACATAATGCTAAGTGAAATAATCTAGCCACAAAAAGATAAACACTATACGACTCCACTTATACGAGATACTTAGAGTAGTCAAAATCATAGAGACAGAAAATAGAATGATAGTTACCAGGGGCTGAGGAGAGGCGGAAACGGGGAGTTATTGTTTAATGGTATAGAGTTTCAGTTTCACAAGATGAAAAGAGTTATGGAGTTGGATGACATTGATGATTGCACAACATTACGAATGCATTTAATATCACTGAACAGTACACTTTTAAAAATAGTTAATATGATAAATTTTATGTTGTGTATATTTTACCACGATAAAACTGTTGGAAAAAATCAGAAAGGTATCAGAACTTTCAACAGTTATCCTGAAAGCTAGAAGACAATGGAACAATGTCTTCGAAACTCTGTGAGAAAATTTCTTCCAAAGTGTAATTCTACACCCAGCCAAAGTATCATTCCAGTTCAAAATTATGATAAAGACATTTACAGCCATTCAAGAGCTCAAAAAACGCACCTGACACTCCTTCATTCCTTCTCAAGAAGCTACCCATAGAAATGATTAAATAAATCAAGAACAAAAGAGGACAGAGTATCCAGGAGACAGGAGATGTGACACAGGACAGCACAACATCCATACACCAGGCCTACAGAGCAGCCAGTCCAGATGAGAACAGGAGGAGAAGTCTCCAGGAGCAATGACTCCAGAAAAGCATATGGACGGACAGACTGTTTGATGTGCTTGAATATTTGGAAATATCATTGAGATGTGATTGACAGATCTATTAAAGCATTTGGGAAACAACAATAGTGATAGATATTGAAAAACTAAGCATGTGAGAAAAGGAGGAAGTTAACAACACCATGGGAGAGAAAAGCCCTATGAGAATAGGAACAAAATCAACCATTAAGTCGGTGGCGAATATCATTTACATAATCAAAATATAAAGACTAGTTTTTCTATTTAACAAAAAAATACAATATAACTATATGGGGGCAGTAAAAGATGCAGTGTAAATGATTACTCATCATAAGGTAGTTAATAGATGGATATCCAAAATTATTAAATTAAGAAATGCAACACAGTAATAACATTTTACAAGTAAGGATTTAAATAAACAGATGAAAGACTTGAAAGTGGCTGCCTTAGGAAAGAGGAGTAGGAGTGGGGGAGCCAAAGGACTCTGCAGTAGGATTCTGCTAGGGACACCCTCCCCACCCCACCCCACCCACCCTTTAGGATTCTGCTCAGCCTTTCACAGACTTTCTTTCCTCCCCTAGGTAGAGATACGTACGTCCCTCCAAGGTTCGCTTGTCCCTGGGCCTCTGTCAAAGCGCTCATGACCCTGTATTTTCATCTTCTCTCTGTGGTCTACCTACACCTCTGACTTGGGCGCCTTGAGAGCAGGCACCTATCTCCTCTTTGTAACCCAAGCACCTATCACACACCTGCCACTCAAAGTTGGCAGAATGAATAAAACAAGGAATCAGGGGTGGGAACGGACTTAGAGAACTGGAGAGACCAAAAGGTAAGGGTCTCCTTCTATTTTACAATTTCATTTAGTCGATATTTTTTTAGTGATTGGCTGGGGCTGCACCCTACTTCACGAGACTCTTAAGAAAAGAAGTTAATTTTCTCTGGCTGGAAGGGACTAAGGGTGGCAACTACTGCATCCAATTTTGCATATTTTCTGCAATTAATAAGTGTTATTCAGGATAACATACCATTTTTTTAGCAATATATGTGGAAGGTTTTTTAAAATGCAATATAAATAAATACAAATGCGGTATAAATAAAATGCATTTATATACAAGAGATTGGTGAAGCAATTGGACACAGACCTGAGTTACACCACGTTCTCTTTTTCTGTTTTGTCTCTTTAAATAGCCCCCTCCCAGCTCCCCAAAATTCCTCTCTAGTGGCTCCAGGGTGTTTCCGTTTCCCAGTAGGGCTGTGAGGGAAAGTCTGGTGTAATGAAAAGATGCCCAGAGCCACGCGCTGGGCCAGAGAGGTTTGTGCAGGACGGGAGAATGGGAGGAAGGGAAAGAAGCAGCCGCCTCTGCTCACCCGGTTTCCAGCATCCTCCTTCTCCCCTCCCTTCTATCTACCTTTTGGTGCCCGTAGAACCAGTGGGTGGGGGGCGCGGGGAAGGGGCGCAGGTCTCGCAGCAGCCGCTGCCTCCGCAGGTACAGCTTGATGGCCTGCAGCAGCCCGAGGGCCAGGCAGAACACGAAAGCCAGGTAAAAGGGCCGCGCCCAGCGCGTCGCTAGCCAGGAGGACTCCATCGCCGTGCGCCGCGCGGATTGCCGGCAGTCTCTGGGGCGGGGGGAGAGGGTGAGCTTTCTCGAGCCCCGCGCTTGGGGAGGGTCACCTCTCCCACCGCGTCTCTGTGGCCTGCGGGAAGCTCCTTTCTTCCCTGGGAAGGAGGAAGAGCGGTGGGTGGGGCAGCTCGGGCTTGGCCAGAGGAGGCGCGAGTTCCCGGATTTCTAAGCCTTTATCAATTGATGCAAACCTTCATTCAGGACTTCTTATACCCTCCTGGAGTGTCATACAGTTTTCAGTCATGGGAGGTCTGAAATTAGGTTTTGAAATAATGCCATGGCTGAAGTCATTGTTTTTCTTTTTTTTGCCACAAATAGTAAACGGCTATGCAAAAAGCTTTCTTTCCCACTGTGACATTCTATCAAAACCCACAGGGGTGTGGGGGCTGGTGGTAGGCGTTTATGATCTTTGTACTCACAGAACGTGGCCTATCCAGTGCTGTGCTGGTAATTGTTTTACAAGTGGTTCTCATTCTGATTTCTAACGTTTGCCAATGTCCACCATGTTCCATTTCAAGCTGCTAACAGAGGACACTGAACACTGGATTGGGGAGAGACATGAAATAGCGTACCATTATCTAGCATTTCCACCAGGCATGCAATCAGCGCCCGCTACATAATTTGTGGATCCCAGTGCAAAATGAGAATGTGGAGCTCCTTGTTAAAAATGTATTAACAGTTTGGAGATGATGACAGCAGGGCATTCAACAGAGCATGTAACCTTCTGAATTCAGGGCCCTGCGTGACTGCTTAGGTCCCACGCCCATGGAGCCAGGCCTGGATATGAGAGACATAAACAACCTCAAGAGCACAGGCTGTAGTAAAATAACTAGAAAGCAGTGAGTTTTTAGTATTTATTACCTAGCAGGTAGCGAACCAGGATCCAACAACCTGACTTCCCGAGCTCCTAGCGCCACTCCCAGCCTTCTTCATAGACATTGCCCTCAGTTCATTCATTCATTCACTCACCCATTCATTTATGCTAAGACAAGCACATGTCAGGTGCTGGATTTACAGCCCTGAACAATAACCCCAGTCTCTGCCACAGCTCCCTGTTCTCCCTGTCACTGTCCCTCACTCCTCAAGCCGCCACCCCAGTCTCTGGAGCCAGGTGTCATTTGGCAGGTGAATGGTTAAGACAGACTCCAGTGATGATGTCTTCATCTGGACCAAATACTGGCCCCTTAAATGTTCCATTGTGCACCACACCTGAAGTGTGTCAGCTCCTTCTTCCCAAGAGCTTCCTACCTCCTGCCTACCTCCATCCCTCAACCAGAAGTTGTTATTCAACAGTGTCTCAGAATCTTCTGGTTTATACAATCTCTTCTGGGTAACTCATGGCATTTTCATTTTCCAGATTCTCCTTGTGTGCCCTGCTCCTTCCACAAATCGTGATGGGTGTATGGTGGCCCTCATATGACCGCGTGATAGTGATCAGGCCAAAGACTTCAGATCCGTGCTCTGCCCTCAGGATCCCGGCTAGTCTCAGCTTCGTGAGATCTAGTCTCGTCTGGTCCCTTTGTGCTGACTGACAAATAGCAGGGTGTGGTGGGTGAACTTCTAGTTAGTTCTCTCAGCAGGGCCAGGGCCTGGGGATGCCTTAGTTGACCCAGTCCTGCCCAGGCTCTTGCTGAAGGTGTTAATCCCTCTGAGACCTGGCTAGTCCATCAACTGCCTTCCACGTCCTTCCTTGGAAAACAAAGGAACTCTGACTTTCTGCACTATACCCAGGACCTAGGAGAGGCTCGAGGCGCCAGCTCCAGCCTTCTCTCTGCTTCACTGCCATTGTCACTCTGCTTCCTCCCAGAGTGAAGCAAGGCAAAGTCCCCTGCGCTCTCAGCTGTTCCCTCCATCGATCCAAACCCCACTCCCAGGATTTTAGCCTAGAGGGGAATCATCGGATTTTCTCCTGATCACTGGCTTCCTAGCCTCTGCCGCTTTTTGCCCTAGTCCCCCAGGCTGGAAGAGGTGGGCTTTTCCCACCTCCACTTCATGCAGTAGGAACTTCCCTTATGATGCTGCTTCTGTGCTCTTACCCCTCGTTGAGAGCGAAGATCTGCAGCCTACTCCAACAGGACACGCTAATGGGAGATTCGGGAATTTCGAAAGTTAGCTATTCTGGCCAAAGACTGGCTTTCAATGCTTGTTGCAACTCAAAACTCCCATTTGGGGGACCAAGAGCAGGGCATCAGTCCTTTCCTCCTTTCGGCATTCCTGTGCAATTGTCCACTGAATTGAATTTCCTTGGCTGCAGTATAGGACAGGGGACACTGAAAAAGCCCCAGCAACATAGATAATGATGCCTGGTAGGCCCAGGTAAGGAGTTCGGACTTTTCCTAAGGCCACGGGCATCCCCTGAAGGGATTTAAGATGGAAAGTGACATGGTTAGATAGATCACTCTGACAGCTATTTGAAAGATAAGAATAGCAAACAAATATTTATTGTGTGCCTAAGTGGCATTCTAAAGTGATTTACATGTAGTAACATTTAAGCCTCATAATAAACATTTGAGGTAGATATTACCATTATCCCCATTTTACATATATGGAAACTGAGACACAGAGAAACTATGCAATTTGCCCAAGGACATCAGAGGGTAAGAAGTGGGATCAGAATTTGAATCCACGCAGTCTTGGGAATCCATGTCCCAGGATCTTAACATTTATGAAAAATTACAGGGGGTGGGGGTGTAAGACTGGAACTAGGAGACCAGTTCTAATGGGATTGCAATATTCAGATAAGATGCAGTGGTGGCCTGGAAGTCAGTTGTAACCGTAGGACGAGTTGTTGAAATGATAGATATAGAAGCCAAAATAAAGTGGGTTGAGAAGTGATCAGGATGGCAACTAATCGAAACTGTGGAGAAAGTATTAACAACTCTGAAAAGTTTGGCTATGAAGAAGAAAGAGAATTAGGATGCTACCCAGAAGGGGATTTGAGAATAGAAGACAAGCTTTCTCTGTCTCCTTCTCTCTGTCTCTCTCCCTCTCTCACCCTCTCTCTCCGGTTCCTAGAAGAGTGAGAGAGGTTGAGATCCATAGTGCCGTCACTAGCCTTGAACTAGAAGGAAGAAAGGAAGCTTGGAGCAGATGTAGAGTTTCACATTTTGTGGTATTTCAAACCATAACAGAGAATAGCACAAAATGTAAATTCCATAAAATTCCATTAAAATATCTCTGGATCATAGATAGTTTTGAATTATATTAATATCACTCAATTTTACAATCTCAAGATCCAGTCTCTATCTCCTTTTTTTTAATAAATGTACCAACTCAAAATAGTTGAATTTAAGAGTACATTGGAGTCATCTGGCCAAGAGCATATTTGCATAATATCGAGTTAAATACATTGCTATTCTCAATAGCAAATTAAACAAATGCCTTCAGCAGGCCCTCACATTTGTTTGAATTGGGTGCAACTCAAAAAATAATAATTTTATTTGAGCATCATATAAGTAACATAAGTAGAGGGCATAATAGCGTCTGCCAAACTAGACTCTCATCTGGAATAATAAGAATATCAAAATACTCTTGAGCCCATACTGCATGCCAGGCACTTTCCATGCACTAGCTCCATCCTCCCAGGTGCCTTACCATCCCCACTTTACAGATAAACAAGCTAAAGCCTAAAGAAGCCCCGGATCTTGACCTACGTCTGTCTTCTGTGTCACATGGTACCTCCAAGGTACCATGTCATAAGACACCTCCCCTGTCAGTTCTTCTCATTACACAAACACATAGAGTGAGTCATAAATTTAGCAAAATTTTCTAATATTAACCCACATTTATTATTGACTAAATATTAACATTTTTACCCTGGTAAGAAATAAAAGGAAAAATCAGCCTGAATTATACATTTTGAAGAGTTCAATATTACCAAACTCAGATCATTTATTTCTAAGTCTTTTTCCACATGACTACTATTCATATTTCCCTCTGTTACTTAAATTCCTGGCACTTAGCAGAGTTACCTACTCCAACTAGAATGAATTCTGGATCTTACTCACAATTAGAAAAATATCCCCAAGTCCCTATATTCTTGTAAAACAGGACCCAAACTCCTCTATGGACAATAAAATTTAAGGGCTTATTTTTCTATATGCAAATACCACATAACTTTATTAATAAAATGGTATCCATTTTGATTAACCAAAAAACTATATAAAAAATATGGAAACTTAAAACTTTAAAGAAAAACTTGAGAAAGTGTAAAAAGACAATGTTTTGCCTTTATAAGCATATATATAAAGTTTTAATAAACTTAAAATATTCTTTGTAATTTGACATTATCAAAATTATAAACAACTGTTACTACTTCCATTTTTTTCAATTGCTTGAGCTTCCATGATTAATAGCACTGACTCTGTTAATCATGGTTATCCAATTGTGTTACTTAAATAGCTTTTAATTTTTAATATGGAGAAAGACATTTTACTATAGAGACAAAAATGAGAATACACAAAATAAAATTAATGAAGAACCTATTTTGCAAAACTTGCATGTATGTTCTATTTATGATAATGATCTCAGCATATTTGCAGAAGTATTAATTTTTTCAGTTTCATTTTTAATGATTTTATTCAAAGCATTAATTGTGTTGGTAATACTTCTGATGGGTCACTTGACTTTTTTTTTGCAAGCTTTATATTTTTTACAATAGATTTTCATCCACTTGAAATAATTAGGTTGGAGGAAGAAATGCAAGTATGTCAGCATCTGTAGTTTAGTTCTTGAAATATGATCATTGCTAAGTAATCACTCTGTCAATTGCATAACAAAAATGATGCTTTATAACCTTTTTGCCTAAAAATCTGCTCAAAGTTGGGAGCATGTTATCTGGGTCTCAGCCAGTAGGAAAACAAGGCAAGAGAAGAAACCAGCCCTTCTGCCTGTCCTGCCTTAAACCTTCCCTAGGATGAGAAATCACCGAGCCAGGAAATGGGAGCCAGAAAGAAGGGATGTAGATTAATGTCTCCAAAAATTCTCCTACTTTGTGTTGGATCTTACAAATCAAACCGCTGACCAGGTTCCTGCAAGGCTGCTTCTGTGGATGGAATGTAACTCCTGGACTCACATGGTCCTTAAGCAAGTGGCAAACTCTCTAAGCCTCAGTTTCCCCAACTGTAAAAAATAGGAGTGACAATAGCACCTACCACCGTCAGTTATTGTGAGAATTAAATGAGGTAAT